AGGCAGAAATTTGCGACATTTAAACTAAATATTTTCTGACATGGTAAAGTCAGAAATTTACAAGAAAAAAACTTGTAAATTTATGAGAAAAAAACTGAAGTTTTCAGGAATGGCTAAAGGGTGATTCCACCTGTTTTCATTTGAGCATCTTTCCTTTGCTATAGTTTAAAAACTAAAACACATAAAGACCTCAAACCTGGACTTTATTATTCTACTCGGATTGCAGAATATTTAAAACCAAGGGTGTGATTTGTGAAACATATTTTATTTGTGAAGCTTGAGTATATGGTGATTTCTGCACTTTTATGGATTTAAATACAGGAATTTATAAGTTTTTCTTGCAAATTTGTGACTTTTCAACATAAAAGAATTTCCAGGTTTTTTTTCTCAAAAATGTCTGAAATTAATCTCAGAAATTCTGAGTTTTTTCTTTCAAATTTACAACATTTGGAGCTCAGAGAATTTCCTTGTTTTTTCTCAAAAATTTCCGTAATCAATCTCAGAAATTCCGAGTTGTTTCTCAGAGATTTGCTCCTCCTTTTTTTTTATTTTCATCTGAAAAGTAGTTGTAAGAAACTCATTTTCACTGAGGGCCACATAAACTAATCAGGAATCGTCACACTCCTCATGTCATTGCTACGACTAAGCACTGCTAACCTACACTGAGCTCTACCTGATATTTCCTGCATAGAAACAGAATTTAAACACATCTTGTACACACTGAAAAGTACTTTGTGTACGACTGAATAAATGTGAAATAATACAGTAATTCTAGTAAAAGTAAGAGTTTCATTCACTGATGAGTTGTGGTGAGTCTTGAATTCTGAACTACCCCTTTCCTACAGGGAGTTCCAATGCCTAATCAGCGAGCATTATGGGAGATGTAGTTTATGGTCAATGTTGGCTTTAAAGCTGCTTATTTTGATACGTTTAATACAACTAAAGTTCAACTAAATTCTTGGGGTCACAGATACCACCTTTTAAATTGTTTATTTTGTTATTAAGTAATAACTTCAAAGTTTACCATTGATATAAAAACTATTTTCATTTTTAATTAAGTTTAAAAAAATGGCGGGGGGCTTTTGGCAGGCCTGGAAGTCACCCACAACCTTGAATTTGACACATGCTCTAGAATGAGAAGACGTATTTGACAGTAAATGGTGCAACAGACATTCTCATTAGTCAAGGCACAACTTCCAGTTTCCTTTTTCTAAGCATCATGAGCGTGTGTGCAGATTTAAAATGAGATTCTTGGGTCTGATGGTTACTGACTGATATCTCCTGTTTTGAGCAGCTCCTCCTGTTTTCC